ATGTTCTACTGTCAGGATATATTGGTCAAATATGACAAAAAGTTCATTTCTGCAGCTTTAACGGCCAATCAGAGCTAACAATTATTGACCATATTTTCTGTGTAGAGGTACCCTTTTAAAAGCATGTGTGTTATTTTATCTTCCAGGACGGCTACTGTTCGGCGGCTACAACGACTACACCATAAATGTTTGGGATGTTCTCAAAGGAACGCGGGTCTCTATCCTGTTTGGACATGAGAACCGTGTCAGTACGCTGCGAGTTTCCCCTGATGGGACGGCTTTCAGCACAGGCTCCTGGGACCACACTCTCCGGGTACGAGATGTCCGTTATCATTGTCTGATCTGATGACTTTGCAACCTTTCTGGTTATGTCTTGTAATGTCCGATGTTTCTTTTTTTCCTTCCAGATCTGGGCTTAAGGATGACACCACAGAGGATTTAATGGTAGACAGACTTACTGTTTGCTAGAGTACAATCACAGACATAGACACTCAGTTTTGGTTGTACATAGGGCATATCAATAGCATTGTATATACTCCAGTTTCATGGCCAGGGTAGATTTACATATTCCAGACAACAATTAAACCAAATGGCACGCTTGTATTACATTAGGATTGAGAGTAAATTTCACAGAAGTACGTATGGTTACAACTTAAGATGTAAAATGTATATTGCAGAAAACAACATTAGTGAGCATTCGTCTAGGATAGAAGTGACACAATAAAGTGATGTATTGTATGTGCCCACATAAAGGACAATACTCGTTTGTTTATTTGTTTTTGCACATAAAATAATGGAGGAATGCAGTCCGTGGAAGAAAATGGGATATAAGGGAACAAAATACATCTCTAGGAGAAGCAGAAGGGTTTATATGAAGGTTAGACTCAGACTAGACTGAGAAAAGAGAGATGGGAGTCAGGGGATTTGTGGCATCTCTATAAATGTTAGGGATAGTGAAGATGATTAGATTGGCTTGTAGAAATGAATCAATATTCGTTAGTCTGAAGCGAATAAAAAATAATATTGGATACGAAGGAGCATTGGAATAAAATATTATGAAAGAAGTACAAAATTGTAGTTTTATTAAAGTTTGTGTGCCCAACAAACCGTCTACATTCTTCACAGTAACTCACCTGCCAATATTATTCTAATGTAAAGAAAGCACATTTACAGATAAATATAAAATACATGATGTTGATCTTTCATCCCTATGGTTTTTAAATCATGGTTTACTTCTGTTTGTTTCCAGCCGTGGAGGCCACTTACTGCTCCACGTGCTCACTGAGTTACTGCAGACACCCTGAACCTGTGGTACCCCGCTAGATATCTACATATAAAAATGGTAAAATCATTAGAATGTCCTCCTTTTCATGCAGTTGTCCAATAATTAAGTAATTTCATATTTACTGTAATTATTTTATTGTAGTTTAGTGTACAGTTATACAAGGGACTGTTTATCAAAGTATTACAAACATAATAAACTGAGTTTTGAATATCACCACTTTCTCGTTGTTTTTATTCACCCAATCTTATTGTTATTTTATTGTCGGTCTACAGTAATATTGAGACCATAGACATATAAAGAAATAAATATAAATATAAAGAGCCATCGTCTTTGTCACAGGTTTTTTTAATAAAGTTTCCACAAATACAAGCGGAAGTGACGTCGCGAACGAGGCTCGGCAGTCTGCTGAATCAAAACAATGGCCGACTGGCGACCCAGCGCTTCACCTCTTCAGCTCTTTTTACATGTTTAACAGACAAACTGTCTTCGACTCTGCGTACGGGACTCTCTCTGGGATGGATAGATGAGTTCATGAGTGTATTTTGAAAGACAAAAGCCAGCTGTTCGCCGCCATAATGAGCGACGTTGTGGAGAGGACCCTGACAGCTCTGCCGAGCCTCCTGTCTTTAGACTCTCAGCCCGGATCCGCAAAACTGTCCTCCACCTCCAAACTGGGAAACCTCATCAGGGGGATCACTGAGCTAACGTCCAAACATGTGAGTGTGTCCTTTAAAGGCTGAAAGCTCAGGAGAAATGAGACGTTGTTGGTGATGGGCTCTGGTGTTAGCTTAGCACTTGAATTTCCCTCGGGATAAATAAAGTATCTATCTATCTATCTATCTATCTATCTATAATTTATAATCTATCTATCTTAGCTGACTAATATAGCTAACTCAGTAAAGGTGTGTTTATAGGTTTCAACCAGTGACTGTATATAAGGTTGTGTTTATATGTTTTTATCATGTGTTGGTGCGTTCAAGTGCTTCAGCTGCACATTGGCAGCACTTGTTCATTCACAAACCGTGTTGCACTATTATTGTCAGTATTTTGTATTCATTTGCTTTGTACACCATTATGTTGAGTGCATGTCTGAGCTGATTGTATTTTTGAATGTTTTCTCAATAAAGATGAAAATATATATTGCAGGGAAGTTAAATCTGACATGGTGATGATGATACTGTATTGTGAGATCAAGTCTGAAATTTGTCTTTCAGAAAAGACAAGAAACAAAGATACATAGGCCTGCAGTTACCATACAAACACAGAAGACAGTATTCAAACCCCTTCAACATGTATTTGATCTGGGATTAAGATCAATTAAGATTACATTTCATGTTTCCCCTGTACAGGAGGAAGAAAAACTAATTCACCGTGAACTAGCGTCCATCAAAGAACAGGTGTCTTCCCCCAACACCTCCATGGTACGATTCTCCGGATTTTCCACTTCGGTCTTTCACTTTTGGTCTGGTGACGCCTGAAATCCCTGACGTGTTTACTTTTTCTCTTCAGAGGCAGATGAAGGAGCTCATGGTGCGAGCGATCTACTGTGAAATGCTCGGTTATGAGGCTTCGTTCAGCTACATTCACGCCATCAAACTGGCTCAACAAGGCACTGCTCTGGAGAAAAGAGTCGGTACGTTCTTGTTCAAAAAAGCTCATTCATTACTCAGCATTCTTACCCAATGATTCTGCAATACTCACTCAGTCTCATGATCAACACAACACATGTTTTTTTCCATCACAACAACTTTATTGACTGCATCTTCTGACACTGCTTTGGGCTTTGCAGGTTATCTGGCTGTGTCTTTGTTTCTGAACGAAAGTCATGAGCTGCTCCTTCTCCTTGTGAACACTGTATTAAAGGTGGGTGCTGAGTCTTTTCAGCATTTGTCATCTGGTGTCTGAATAAGGGATGTTGAAGTATTCTTTTTGTTTTCAGGACCTTCAGAGCTCAAATCTTATTGAAGTGTGCATGGCTCTAACTGTGGTCAGCCAGATGTTCCCCAAAGATATGATTCCTGCAATCCTTCCTCTTGTTGAGGATAAACTGAATCACCCAAAGTAAGAAATGCTCTTTTCCTTTCCAGTCCGATTAGTTGCCATGTTCGTTCAAGTGTATTTATTCATATGATAAACTAGAGCATGAAAAATCTGCTTGAATGTTATGATATTTAAGGATTTCTTTTTGCATATTTGTAGAGAAATCATTAGACGAAAAGCAGTCCTGGCACTTTATAAATTCTACCTAATAGCACCGAATCAAGTTCAACACATCCACAACAAGTTTCGTAAAGCTCTGTGTGACAAGGATCCTGGTGTCATGACAGCCTCACTACACATCTACTTACAGATGATCCAGGTAATCCGTTTTTCTTTAATTATTTTATTTCACCACAACATTAACTGCGTTTAAAAGTCATTACACATCTTAGTTAAAAGTGGTGTAATCCAGTCGTGTTGCATATTCCTCTTTCGTTACAGGAGAATCCAGAAGGTTATAAGGACCTGACGGCAAGTTTTGTCACCATACTGAAACAAGTGGTGGGAGGAAAGCTGCCAATGGATTTCAACTATCACAGTGTCCCTGCTCCATGGCTGCAAATTCAGCTTCTCAGAATACTGTCAATACTTGGGAAAAATGACCAAAGGTAATTATTACTTATTTTGTCCCCAGATGAAGTGGTTGTTGGTGCTGTCATGTGGTTGTGCTCTGTACTCGAATCCCTGCAAGATGTCTGTTCTTTGTTTGACAGTACAAGTGAGATCATGTACGAAGTCCTCGACGAGTCTTTACGGAGAGCAGAGATGAATCATAACATCACCTATGGTATGCCAGTTCTTGTAAATTTGGTTGTTTGAGATCATTTAAATACTCTCTTTAACCACTTGTTGAATTCTCTCTCTTCATTTCCAGCAATATTATACGAGTGTGTAAAATGTATTTACACCATTCATCCCAAATCTGATCTTTTGGAAAAAGCTGCAAAGTGCATTGGCAACTTTGTTCTGTCGCCGAAGATTAATCTCAAATATCTCGGTAAGATCCAAAGAAAACCTTTAAGTCATTTTTCTCATTGACAGTCAAGATTTCAGACATTCACTGTAGTAAATTGGTTAATTTGGTGTTTCTGTAGGTTTGAAGGCCCTCACCTACGTGGTCCAGCAGGATCCTAAACTGGCCCTGCAGCATCAGATGACCATCATAGAGTGTCTCGATCACCCCGACCTCATCATCAAGCGTGAGGTGAGGCAGTTTACTGGGGTTGGCTGGAGTTTGGTAATTTGTGAGTTTACAGCATTATCAACCTTTTCCTGTTTTCTTGTAGACGCTGGAGTTGCTCTTTCGGATCACTAATGCCCAGAATGTCATGGTCATTGTGGAGAAGATGCTTGAGTTTCTGCGCATCAGTAAAGATGACTACACTACTATTGACCTGGTGGGGAAGGTGGCAGAACTGGCGGAAAAATATCCTTCCAAGTGTGTTGATGATACTACGAGCAGGAGACAGCGCTCATTGTTAAATGTACACATGGAAAAAGGAACAACCCTTACAAAAATAAACAACAGTCATCTAATTAAGCTGATATAAATATTGAAAAAATGAATCGATCGTCTTAATTTTGCACAAATTCTTGCTTCTGACAGATGTAGTAAAGACAAAGTCAATAAAACCTGGTAGAGGTTGAAGACACTGTTTTTATCAGAGCGTATAGAGTAGATCATTATTGGCCTATCGCTGGTATTGGCGTATATGTTATCCAATATGAAAACTGTGACGCTTGTGGTAATACATTAGTGTCGTTGCAAAGTTTATCCAGCAGAGTGTGCTGTGATTTACAAAACTGGCGAGCTGCACAGATGAAGAGAAAAACAGCAGCTCTCGGCAAGGTCAACCAGAATTGCTTGACAATGTATATGTTAAATTATCAACGTTAAAAAATATATTATTTTATTTGTTTGAGAAAGCAGCTGTCTAATTAATAAAATCACTATATGGGCCGCTGTATCAGTTATGGGAGAGTTTTTCTGCTCTGAAGTAGGTATGGGCCTGAAAAAATACCCACATCTGCCAGGCTTTAATTTTTATGAGTGTAGCATAAAGAGATGTATAACTCTCCTGTAGACTTCTACTGGCGGTTCAAGGCCTAAATGATAAGTAATTCTCTGAGTTGAGAAACAGAAATCCAAGCCTTTAATAACATGCTGTTCGATCTTTTATACCCTGTTAGTTCCTCTCTGTTGTGTTGATTATTTTCCTATAAACCATTATACATATGCACCAGACAATGAATGGTTCATTGAGACCATGAACACAGTGTTTTCAGTGGGTGGAGACATGATGCAGCCTGACATCCCAAACAATTTCCTTAAACTGCTGTCTGAGGGTGAGATAACCACACCACTCAACTTATTCTCTACTGTTGTTATGTGGTGATAATTCAGTAATTTGACACTGATGTTGCTTTTGATTGATGGATTTTGTCGTGCTAATGTGTCTTTAATGGCCCAGGATTTGACAGCGTGGAGGAAGACAGGAAGTTGAGGCTGTTTGCTGTGGATTCATATGTTTCACTACTGCAAGGAGAGCCTGGCAAACTGCCACAGCGCTTCCTCCAAGTCATCAGCTGGGTGAGTGCTGTCTGCACAATTACCACTATCAGCAGTTTGTATAATTCTCATGTAATAATAATGAGAACAAGAAGCAGTAGAAGGAAAAGGAATACAATGGTTGAGTTATTATATAGGAGAACATATGCACTGGACTACTTAACTCCTTTTTTAAATCTTCTGTCTTTGTATGTAGAGTTTTTCACAATCCACAGCATTCGTTCTTTCATTCAAAGTTCATTTGCTGGAGTTTGTCGGGTTGATAACCATAAAATAAAAACCCATAAAAGAGAAGAAAATAAACATATCACACTGCCATTATTATCAACAATTGCATGCTGCAGTTAGTCTACCTCATGTTACATCAGCATTTACTACTTTCTCTCCACAACAAATCAGAATAAATCCTTGGAGATTAACTAATGGTTATTCATTACATTCAAATAAATGAGATTATCATTTTACCAACTTCAGTATTATGTTAAATCATATGCGAATATCATCCATTAAACACAATAATGATGCAAATGACAATCTGATACTCTGATGAGCAAACTTAACCACGCTGTCACAATCACTGAGAAGAATGTCTGACATTTGTCTTTACAACGTTTGGTTTGAAGCATACATTACCAATTACTTTACAATTTCCAGACATAAACAACAACAGTAAAGTACAAGAGGATTTCATTGCATTGGAATAATTTAAAACATTGTTAGAAAATATCATAAAAGGCTGGCTTGAGTTCCTCAGGTACTTTTTTTTTTAAATCCAGATTTTGAATCCAGATGATAAAAGCATAGTCATGCTGGTGTGTGTCCTAATGGATGATCAGAGGTGAGAAGATCTCATGCAGCCAGCAGGCTGGCCTGTAACATCCTAATGTCAGTATGATATATATCTAGTATCCTGGTCACCTAAAAATCTTAGATGGACATACATGAGTGAACTTTTACAGTAATGATGCAAGAATACACAATGTCACAGGAGTAAAAAAAAAAAACGAGTTGCAAACATGAAATTATACTTCTTATTCTCTTATACTATACTTCTTTTTTTTTACAGATAAAAATCACATTACTACTCTTTACATGTCTTTCAAAATGTAACTTACTGTGTACTGTAACATTCTGTCCCTTCTCTACCATGCACAGGTCCTTGGTGAATACTCCCACTTAAGGGAGGAACTTGAACCGGCTACAGTCCTGAGGCTGCTGTCCAAACTGTTGGACACAAAGAACACCAGCAGTGAAACCAAGAGCTGGGTCCTCATGGCAATAACCAAACTCTGTGAGGGCGCGGCGGGCGTTTCTGTGGCTAAGGAGGTTTCTGAAACATACAGCAGCTCCCTGGACACAGTACTGAGGCAGAGAGCTCAGGAGCTTCAGCATCTCAGCCAAGACTCTGAACTACGAGCCAGAGTGGTCCCCCGAGACGCCGGGCTCAAACCCCTGGAGGTAACATATGAACATACGGAGCTACCGAATTACAATAATCATGTAAAAATATATAGTTTTCTGTCATTTTAATGTTGCAATGGTACATTGAAAATATGAAAACATGTGGTTAGACTTTGAATTTCTGCTGCTGTTAACATTTGGTGTAAGATGCCAAAAACAATAAAACATGATGATTTAGTTCCTGGATCCACAGCAGATGATGTAACTTTGTGGTTTTTGTTCTCTGGCAGTTAGAGCTCATCATCTGAGGGATGAAAACAAAACCTGCACACACTTGCCCTCCATAACACACAGTTGATTAGATCAAAGGCAATATTTATTGAAATAATGGGGATCATAATTTAATTTGTAATCATAGGGGCATGTCTAGAGTAGTCTGCTGGGTTGGGTTTACCACAAAACTCCATTCAGTATCGGATGCAGTTTCAGTCAACTAGATACAAGTACAACAAGAATAATGTTCTTAACACACAAATGCTTCCTCTAAATCATATCAAGTGTAAAAGTTATATGAGATATATTTGCAAGCATTCAGATATGACGTCTTTAGTTTGCTCCTTTAGTCCTGCACAACTTTCCAAATGATCTTCTTTTCCCCGTTAAAGGAGAAGTTTAAACTTGCAGTTGTTGTTGTTTCCAGGTGGATTCATCTCTGTCATTTCTGGATGGATTTGTGTCAGAGGCGTTGGCTGCTGGTGCTGCTCCATACAAGCCTCCCCATCAGCGTCAGGAAGAACTGGCTCAGGCAAAAGGTAAAAAAGAAAAGGAAAAACATTTAGACTGTGGTAGATTTGGCAGCACTGCCTTGTGTTAATTTGTTCTTGACTGTGTTCTCTGCGTCAGCGTTGAGCCTGGAGCCATACGGCTTGTCCCTGCCCATCAGCATGTCCTCCTGCAGCATTGCAGACAGGCAGTCTCCTACACTGTTATCCATGAGCTCTGGTCTGTCGGGCAATAGCACCGACCACTCACATAAGGGATGGTACGTAAACACAAAACATATTCTTATGCTGTCTTAGTTAAAATAGTTTACACGCAAATGCATGGCCGGTTTAGAACTCATTCTTTTTTATTTTTGTTTCAGCTCTACAACTCTGAAGCTGGACGGTGTTAAGAGGGTGTGGGGGAAGGAGGGATACTTGGCACAGAGGGAGTCTGTGGAGGAGGCTGCCCAGGTTGAGCTTCCCAGCCCCCTGCGATCACCCAGCCAGCAGGGAGAGACTGACAGCTCCCACAGTCAGACTCCCACTCCGATACCGACCCCCGAGCCCGAACACGAGAAACAGCAGCTGGCCTCTTCGCTGTTTGTCGGCCTGGGTTTACAGAGCTCTGTGTGTCTGGTGAGCTGTTTTAATTGAGCAGGTCCCCTTCTATGGTGTGCACCATGTTGAACTGCTATGTTTCTACAGTAGCCCAGAACAAAAAAACCAAACACTGGCTCTAGAAAGGTCCTTTAGCATTTCTTGCAGGTTTTGCAGCAACAGTAGGAGGCAAGAACGTTGCAATCAGAAACTATACTGCTAGATGCCACTAAATCCTACACACTCACCTTTAAGACTGCAATTAATAATTGTCTTCATTATTGATTAATCTGACAATCATGTTCTTAATTAACTGATAATCGTTTGGTCTATAAAATGTCAGAAGATGCTTCAACAGTCCAAAGGCCTAAGATATTTAAGTAATTTTCACACAAGACAAAGAAAAGCAGCAAATTGTCACAGTTGAAAACCTGGAACAGCAAAATGTGATTTAAATGATTAATCAGTAATCAAAATAGCTGATTAATCATTTCAGCTCTACACAGGATCTACTCGCTCTATAAATCTCAGCTGTTCTGATGAGATTTTGCAGCCCTTTGCAATGTTTACTGTAAAACTTGACTTTGTGGCAATCATTTCAAAAAATATACATCTACAAAAACATGTCTTACAACTAAAACCTTTTTCTTTTAGCAGATGGGAAAATCTGAGCCGACACCCCAGCGATTCAGAAGAAAAGCCCAAGGTCCGGGCTCGTCCTCGGCTGCCAGCGAGCAGATGTCCAACTCCCTCGTCTCTACTCCGAGTACAGTGGATAACTTGCTGTGTGACAACCTCCTGGACTCCAACATCACCTCAGAGCTGGATGTTTCTTCACTGACACAGACATCTGAGCTCTCTGAGGATCTAACTACTGCAAATGGCACCTGTGATGTAGAGTTAGCTGAGAGTGACATAAAGCGAAGTAACCCCTCTCTCATTAGGGATAACGGCGTTGCTGTAGCTGCCAATCCTACTCCACACGAGGACCCAGACAGACCTAAAGACTTGTGTCTCAGTACTCATCTTCCTGCAGAGTTCTCTGGCCTCCCCCACTCAGAAATCACTCCTCTGTGCTCCAACCAAAGCCTGGATCTCTCAGCCTGTCACATGCAGAAAGAAGATTCTTTATCGCTAGTTATTTTCATTTACAACTCCTCTGACTCTGAAATTCAACAGATACTACTAGAGCTTGACTCAGATGAACTTGAGGTACAGTAATTATTGAGCATAAATGTATTAGTCGTGTTATCTTTTTATTGGTCTTTGGCATGAAAAGGACATTTCTGTTGATTTTTTTTTTGCAGGTATCCTGTGTGTGTGACAGTCCAGTGCAGGAGGTGAGAAGCCACGGTGTAGCAGTGTGTCAGTATTCCCTGACTGTGAAGAGGCCTTCAGTCCATGTTGAAGTAGTTGGGATGGTATCTTACCAGCTGCCTGTTGGGACGCCTCAGTCAGTCCAGTTCTCATACAAACTGCCTCTAACCAGCTTCATCAGGTGAAAGATTTTCTTCTTTTATGTATTGCTGAGCAGAGATTATTAGTGGCTTACTGTAATTTTCTTCCTTCAGACCTTTGACTGTGTCCACAGAAGAGTATGGGACAATGTGGCTGGCCTTCTCTCACGATACAAAGCAGAACCTGACGCTGATAAGTGAAGGCCAGCAATCTCTCGCAGCCACTCTGAACGTGCTGAAGAAGAAACTTCATCTTCATGTCGTGGAAATCATAGGTGACCAGACATTCATCTCTAAACTGAAATGTCAGAGATGGGAAATTTGCTCACCCATGCCTATGTATCACTAGAAAAAACATACAGATGCACAAAATATACATTGGACATATGGTCATATTTGAACATGTACATTCAACGCCACTACAAAGCAGTTCTTATTAAGAGCTTATTGCCTTATAAATAACTTGTGGGTGCCCAGATAGCTCACCTGGTACTGCTGGCAGTATATTTAAAATAATAATAAATAAATGAATAATTAGCCATTAATTGCTCAATAAGTTGCTCTCAAGTTAGAAAGAATTATTATTATATTGTTTTAACAGAGGATTACAGATAAACATTGTTCATAGGGCTTCAGGCTGAAGCAGCCCCAGTGCCTGGTTAGTCTTTGAAAATCAAGATCCACTTACTCACTTGTTCCACCATCATGTTCAAGTCAATAGTTTTGTTACTATTATTTTAGGGCATCTCATAACATGAGTATGAATATTTTAAAATAGTTGATATGTACATAAATATGTGAAAGGTGCAGTTCTTAACCAATAGGTTGATGTGTGTTAAATGCAACCTACAATTCCCATGAGTTCTACACTATTAGTGAACATTTATTCATATGTCTTACAGGTATGGAAGGTATTGTAGCTTGCCGGCTCCTCCAGGATCAGCCATGTCTGATGCACTGTCGTGTGCATGCGGGAACGCTGGCTGTGTGGCTGCGCTCTCCTGTCCCTGAGCTTCCCGACTGCCTGATCTACCACTGTCAGAGAGCTTTACAGGAGCACTGACCCCGACTGCAACACCTCTACTGACTCCACTGAGCAACACGATCACCTGACCCTCAACCACTGCAGAGGAAGGGACACAGAGCAGCAGTGCAGAACAGAACAGAACAGAACAGAACAGAACAGGAGACAGAACATCTGATGTGCATTCTCATCTTTATATTCACATTTGTTTGTCACTTCCAATGTAAGTTACACAGCAGGATTTGCTTTTGAATCATTTATTTTTAACAAATTAGTGGAAATCCATAGTTTGGAAGTCATGGTTGATAAAAACCTCAGGGCCAAGATATTGTGTTTTTAACCTTCTGTGGGTGTTTGACATTTCAGAATAACACTTATGTCTTAAGATGATGACAGGGCTCCATAATGACTTGAAAACTTCAATGTTTGAAACATTGTGAGGGAAATGAATGTTAAGTTTGATATTATTGGAAAATAATGAATTTCTACAGTTGTTTTTTGCACCCCCCTGGTCTGCATGCTAATAACCAGAGATTACTGATTTGTGACATGATTTTAAAACATAGTTACATTTTCTTGGTTAGAATGATCATGACAGACAGAACAAATACATACAAAGGTCATCTCTTTTCTTCATTAGCACCTTAAAGTTCCAGTGTGTAACATTTAGGAGGCTCTATTGGCAGAAATTAAATTTAAGATTCATAGGTTTTCATTCATGTGTAATATAGGAATTGTTATGTTTTTGTTACTTTGGAATGAGCCTTTTATATCTGCAGTTGCAGCGGGTCACCTTCCAGGGAGCCAGCCATGTTTCTACAGTAGCCCAGAAGGGACAAACAAAAACTATAGGAGGCTATAGATAGTTTCTCCTTCACGCTTGGAAGTGGAGGGTCTGTAACTACACTGCTAGATGAAACTAAATCCTACACACTGCTCCTTTCATTGCTGGTATTAACTAAAATGTTTAGTTCTTTTCAAGTTCATCAATACTGATTGAAGCAATACTGATTGAAATGGAAACAACACAAATTCTTGCTTTGGACTGGTTGATGTCATTTATTAGGTGTTTTTGGAGTAGCACAGGGAATATATTGATATCTTTTAAGAGTACCAAATGAATTGCTTGTTATTTGTGGTATGGAAACAGTTTAAACTAATATTTACAGTGAGCTGCTTTTGAGTAAAGAACCTGCTCGTCTTTGCTGCTGAAGTAAAAAGAGGTTTACATCCCTGTCTGTCTAAAGGGTTACATTAAGCTGACATTAACCTCTGACTGCAGCAGTTACACGTATGTCTTACATCTGTGATGAAAGTATTTTGTCTTAAATGTAGCAATGAAGATCTCACTCTGCGATGTCCGTGTTGTCCGTTTGTCATTCTGATGAGGAGCATTTTAGTTTTCCCTCATGTTTTGCAGATGCTGCCTTCTGTGTGATATGATTATCTATGCACTCATGTTTGTGGTTTGTCAGTTCCGGTGAGAGGTGGATTTTAGCAGTCTTTGATTATTATATTTTTGTATCAATGCAGTATTAACATATTTATTGGATTTATATTCTTACAGAAAATATTTTATATTCACTTCTCTGAAAGGAAAAAAAAAATCATTGTGCTGTTTGATTATTGTGTGTCAGATCTGATTTGTCTCAGCTTGTTTTATTTAATTCAACCTGAAGGGAAAGTTTACCTTTTTTTTTTTTTTGTTTTTGCCTGTGTCCTGATTTGAAGCACAGCGTGAAGCTAACAATGCGTCTAAAACTTTAACCCAACGCCTTATGTTCTAATGCCAAGGTGGCGTGTTTGATTTGTGCCTGTGGTACAGAGAAAATCAATGTTTCTTAGAGTGCCTGTCACTACATTCTGCTAACTTATGAATAAATTCAACACATGTAAATTAACTTGATTTTGACTCCTTGATTATTGATGATACATCTGTAATAGCTATGAAACAGAACATATGCAGGAAAGAGGGATATTACCCATTTTTATTAACATTTTCTAATGTTATTTCCTGCATTTTTTTCCCTATTTTTTGCACATCCCAGTGTGTGCTGAAATTATTACATGTTTACATCTAACACTGTTCACTATACCATAACTTTGATCATGTTTAATACGGTAACCTCTATAATGCTAAAGGAAACGCACACCATATGTAAAATATAAATATGACATGATAACAGCATCATCATCAACAAAATTAAACTGGGATTAACAAAATGAAAAAGTAGCTTCGCCTCAGTCCAGGTCATAATTATTTTGTGACCTCTGAGGACAATTAAACATAATCTATATCCCTCTGCATTTTCCATATTGCATCCTATGAGTCAGAAGATCATCCTGCCACTCTTCTTTTGGCTAAAACCTTCAACCGTATTCTCTTAGAGGCCCTTGATGTCAATGTAGGCAACAGAGTACCAGAGTTTGTCTTTTTGCACATTTGTATAACTTGTTCAGGGAATATCAGCTCACCAGCCCCATTGCCTTCATTATATCGGCTACATATTTAAAACACAGGCAATACTATAGTAGTTTCCACCAAAACCCTCTGTGTCTCAGTGCTGACTGTGTGAAGGTTGTGCTGTTCGAGGGATAAAGCGCATGGCCAGGCTGTTCTCGTCCTCCACAGGCTGCTGCGACAGGTTGTTGGTCTGCCTGATGCTGTTGAGGGTGCAGCCTTGGCGAGGACACACTGTATAGCGAGACAACAGAGTGACCAGAATGGCCTTCATCATCACCATGGCGATTTGTTTGCCCACGCAGGAACGAGGCCCGCAGCCGAAGGGCTGGAAGAAACGACTGGGAACCTGCCAAACAGAAGAGGTAAAGACTCAGCTGTTGTTTTTGTTTCTAAGAGCCACATATTGTTGCACAGCAATCACCTGTCTTACTGTTTTATCAAAGTTCATCAGGCTGAACTCTTTGGGTTTTGGAAAGAATTCAGTCTTATGCATGAGACCAATGTTGAGAATGATGTTTGTTCCTTTTGTAATCTTAATGCCTTCGATGGTGTCATTTTCCAGAGCTTTTCGCATCGTGAAATCAACCACAGGATGAAACCTCAGAGACTCATTGATGAAACTCTCCAGCACTTTCAACCTTTGATAATCGATGTTTTCAGAACCTTTTGCACCTGGAAATGAAAATTCAGCAGCATTCATTGATTGTTTAGTATTGTTTCATTTTTACCTGTCAGAGGGTGAAACTGAGATTAACACAGCGCTTACTCAAGACACCGTTCATCTCCTCGACTATCCTCAGCTCTACATCTGGGTTTTGTTTCAGCAGCATCAGCATGAAGAAGAGGCTGATGGAAAGCGTGTCAGGCGCTGCAATCACCATCTCCAGCACACACTGCCTGACATTATCTCCTGAAAGCTCTCCGAGGTTCTGTTAAAAAGACAATGTAAGGTATGCAGAGCCCAGCAAACACATGACACCAACTCTGCGACACAGGTGGTAACTATTTATAAAAAGAGACAAACTTGAGCAAAGATGAGCTCTGTTGCAAAGTCAAGATCATCATCCAACTTCTCAGACTCATTTATAATCTTTCTTTTGATTTCAAGAAGGCTCTCCATCGCGTCTTGCAGCTCTTGGCTGTTGGCACAAAAAGCACCACAAAGATTAGGTTGAAGAAACCACAAGCCAAATGCTGAATTATTGTGAAGTGTGACAATCTTACGCTGCTCTCTTATGCTTGTTGTACAGCCATCCAATCTTGAAAAATATATCAGGCTTTATTAGAACTGTTTGCCAGGTCTCAAAGTAGCTTTGGATTTTCATCAGCAAGTCTTTTTCTGAGTTTTGAGGAACAAAAAACAGAGTTAGGAGCAGCAGGCATCAGTGCAAGAACTGGAAATATATTTACTGACAGTGAACAAGCAGCTGACCATTCAGTGGCACCCTGAGGAAAAGCCTGTTGGAAATGTCCACCACTACGGCTCTTAGCAGATTGAGGGAGTCCACATGTCCTGAGGGTTTGGTCATCTCCTGCAGGCGGTCCAGGTGTTTGGCTGTGGAGCTCACACAGATTCCCACAGTCCTCTGGAGGCCGGGGCCTGTCAGAGCTGTAAAACAACCATGAAACAGTACAATAATTCAAATACAATGATGCAGTGGGTTGGATTTATTTTTGTTAGCTTATTAGTAGGGCTGTGTATTGGCAAGAATCGTATCACAATATAATATATTGCTATTTTTTAAATCTAACTTTAGAAAAACCCTTAGTATAAAGAACACACCACCATATGCATAAAATCTGAGTTTAAACCCCTACTTATTAGGTATGTGAAAATGTCTAGAAAAAGAGGTGAAAGATACCACAGTGCTCTCACTCTATTCTCTGTGAAGGTAATTGCTTACCTTTAGAAAAATATGTCCTCACTTTTTTCCAGAGTAGAACATCACTGTTGAAAATGATTCCCCTCCCTTCCATCCCAATGCACTCCAGTCCTGTTTTGCTCCCAAATCTGGCTGTGTAGTGAGCGCTCCTCAGAACATGATACACTGCTGAAGACCTGCAAGAGCAGCCAGACTTACTACAGATTTATGGGATAAATTGTGAATATAAACAGTTTTTTTTTCTTAAAAGACTTGCCTGCTCAGAATGACGGTCTCCTCGCCATTAATCCAGACCCGGACAATGCTGCCATATTTGTTGTTATAGTAGTTGCACGCTGTTCCTATCCCAGTCCAGATGAATCTGCTGTAGGAGAGAATAGGACCTAGTCCTGCCAAGAAGGAAGGTCCTGACAGAAAGACACAGGTAATGATTTAATGTGCTTTTATGTCTGCGTGGTAAGGGGCAAGGGAAAACAGATGACCTCCTGTATGGAAATCAATAAACTATTATGTTATTTCATCAATAATTTGATGCAGAACTATTTACTATGGAGCTAATTTCCCTGTCCCTCTTTAAAACAGAACCTGTTTTACTTCTATCTGTTTACATCTGCAGTCACTTCTGCATGTGGATCAAACTATACAAATTATGTGAAAGAACAGAAGCTGAAGCCTCTTACCTGGTATGTGTGAGCGGTTTGTTCGGCTGCAGGCAGTGAAGAGCAGCAGCAGCAGCAGCAGCAGCAGTAGGACGGTGGTGACTTCAGACAGTGTATCAGCAATCATGGGGCAGATGGTGAGTGCATCCAGCGGCAGCATCCCATTCATAACTCCAGCCAGGAACTCACACCTGAGCTGGCTGACCTGTTATCATAAGGTTCGTTCTCTTTTAACCAACAGACAAACCAAGCTCATTTATTTGTTAAAACAAAAACGAACAATGTTTAAATGTGGATGGCCTTGCTTTTCATCCCTTGTAATTCTCTTGTCCTTCGTGGCTGGGATGTAACTCAGCACTGGCACACATAAAAGCCAAAATTCACCCACATAATATGATAATTATGATATCATGTGTTGGTGATGTGATTCAACATCTGATATCAGACGGTGTAAGGGTGGATGACAGATTATTCCCTTATTTTCTAATGTCATAATGTCAGGTTTATCATGCTCGTAACATTAGTGTATTCTTCCAAGATATTACATACATTGAGTTGCAAAAGTAACTGACTATTTACATAATTATTATAACACAGTGTATCATACTAAATTTAAATTAAAAAATGTGAGTTTACAGGTGAATACATGGTCCAACTGAAGTGATGATAAGGAAGTTTCTTTTCTTAAGAAGAATTCAAACTTTTATCCTTTAATGTTTGTACTTACAGACTGCAAAAACTTTTATTTTGAATCTATCACTTATTAAATCTTATTATTGTATTATTGTTGCCCTCCCTCATAAAAGTAACATTGCATTTCTGAATATGTTCATATTTTCTGATTTAATTGTGAACAAATACTGTGACAGAACATAGTTAAATAGAGACATGAGAGAGAGTTTCAACTGAATTTCATGACTCAAATTTCTATTTCACGTTCAACATATTTTTACATATTCAAACCATTAAAGCAGTATCTTTAAAAGTATTGTTTACAAATATTTTAATATTTAAATGATCAAAGAATAGTACTTACAGTACGCCTCTTGTTCTTTCCTGCTGCTGACAAGTCAGAGTGCAGTTTGAAGAGATGCAGCGCCTTCTCCACTGGTTCTAGAGATGATTAACTTTCTTCTACCAAATAAATCGCAAGTGTTTATAAATCCTCGGTTAAGCCCTCACTTTACTGGTTGCTAAGGAACCCTGCCACTTGGAGGTACAAGTACCATTACGTGGCAGGCCAGATAAAAGTGCACGCCTAGACCACAAAGCACCTTCAGGAAGAATAAGAAAAAGTGTCTTTCATTTGTACAAATGTAAAAGTTTCAGGTCTTTCATCGGTTGTGCTCTGCATCAGTTTTTTTTTTAGATGGGCTTACTTCACATTTAGCTTTGTTCAAAAGAAAGAAACCCCACCGTCCAATTCAGCAAGCGAGAAGGCTATTCAGGGGGAAATTAATCAGCTGGGTCAGACTGACCTGTGTCAAAGGCAGCAGGGATTTACCATTTACCCAGCAGTCAAAGAAAAGGAAAGAGAGAGGAGAGAAAATGTCATCTTTATAATTAAAATACAGTGTGAGTGCTGCAGTACTTAAAAAAAGAGAGCATGGATGCAAAATTATAAAGACAGAAAAAACAGTTAATGCAGAGGTTATGTACTTATAAAGAGCTGTCCTTTAAGCTCACTACCTATGAATAGCTGGTATGCTGTTGATCAAGATGTTGGCCTCACATTTAGGGGTTTGGGTGGGGGCTTTTATCCCAAGTTGGCTGAAAAACTTGCTTTTCCTCATTGTGGTAGAAACTAAACTGGATAATTGGAACTTTTTGTAAAATAGAGACACTTTCATATTATCTACAGTCAAAGTGAAGAAGAAATTGCTATTACTATAACTATTATTTTACGTTTTTATTTTTGTAAATTTATATTGCAATACATAAAACACATAAAAGGATATTTCAGCACACACACACACGTACATCCACACACGCACAGCCTTTTACTGAAAACGCTCTGAAAGCTCTTTTGTGGATCCGAAGAATGTTCCCCTTGTTCACAACTTATTTATTCCACTTCCATGTAATTTTGTGTAGGACGGACTGTTGACAATATTGAGAGGAAGAGCACCAGAATGATGAGAAGCACTACACTGTCTGCAGGATTTGTCATTCTGGAAATATGTCCATTAACTGCCTCTATCAAGTAAGGCCTATTAGACTTTAACTGTTTCCCAGATGCTTGTTGTGCAATGCAACCACGTGGTTCCCCCTGTACTTACAGACAGATTTTGACATGTTTATTCCTCTCCAACAGCTTACAGCGTAGTTCCTCTCTGACGTATCATCTGTTGGCAGGTGTTCAGATATGTGCTGTATGTGCTTGTGAATTTCAGAGCCCAGATCACTCTGCAGTGGAGGACCAGTAAGTAGGACACAAACATGAAGGAGAGGAGTGGAGTTTTTCTTGCGTGGAAAGTGCTGCTGGTGGGCATGTGTGCACTGCTGCTCCTGAGCTCAGCAGGTTTGGGGTACCTGCTGGTTCGACAGGGAGAGCTGACAGAGGAGCTGCTCAGGTTGGATGCCCAGATGCAGGCGCTGTCACAGAGCTGCAGCCTGCGGGCAGGAGTCCTCCCCATAGACCCCGCACAGGCTGGAGAGCTGAAGAAGCTCCACCGCAGCAGAAGAAACCAGGAGAAACCAACACAAAGCCAAGACGAGAAGGATATGCTGATGCTGATGACCTACTCGATGGTCCCGGTAAGAGACCAACATGCTTGAATGTGCACTCTTTTTAGGAAAATGTGAACACTGCAGCCTTTTTACTGTACTTCTGTAAAAAAAAAAAAAAAAAAAAAAAAAAAAACAACAACAAACATGAAAAGAGATTTATGAATTTTTCATTATGTTATGAGCAAGAACAGGGGAGCAGTCAACCACTCTTTGCTGTCATCTTTAACAGAAACATTTCCCCTCTTTTCCCTTTTGGGATAAGAAGCATGCCTGTGTAATGCAAAGAATTCCAGAGTCTGCTGCAGAGCTTAAGAAGAAGTCTGGTTTTCCATTGAACGTTTCCTGGATAAATACTTTGAGCAGCACGACTGTTACCTGCTCCTCCCTCAACTGTAATCACCTCCACTGGGAACTGGCATTTCCTTAGAGGGTGCTACTGTATTTCTTTGACAAAGAGAACAGCAAGTTTAATACTAATAATAATAAGTATTTTACCAAAAGAGACAATAGTGTAAAGATCCCAGAGCTCAAGCTGATGTCTTTAAACTGCTTGTTTAGTCTGATTAATGGTACAAACCTGAACATATTAAATTTATTGTCATGCAAGACTAAGAAAACCAGCAAACA